GGGAGTCGCATGGATTAGTTGCTTCCCACACTAGCCCCGAGCGGGGCTGGGGATCAAAGCTGCAACCCAGGTACATGCCCTTGACTGGGAATCAAACCCATGACCCTTCGGTGTGTGGGCTGGTGCTCTAGTCACTGAGCCACACAGGCCAGGGCTCAAATTTTTTTTAAATCCTCACCCCAGGATATGTTTTTATTGATTTTTTTTTTTTTTTTAGAGAGAGAGGAGGGGGGAATGAGGGAGAGGGAGGAAGAGAGGGAGGGAGAGGGAAACAACGATGTTGCCTTCATTACGCACCCGACCAGGAATTGAACCCGCAACCTAGGCATGTGTCCTGACTGGGAATCAAACCTGCAACCATTTTGGTGCACGGGATGGTGCTCAAACCAGTGGAGCCATCTGGCCAGGGGGATTTTTCTATTTATTTATTTATTTAAAATATATCTTTACTGATTTCAGAGGAAGGGAGAGGGAGAGAGAGAGACACATCAATGATTAAGAGTCATTGACTGGCTGCCTCCTGCACGCCGCCTGCTGGGGATCGAGCCCGCAACCTGAGCATGTGCCCTGACCTGGAATTGAGCTGTGATCTCCTGGATCCTAGGTCAATGCTTAACCGCTGACCCACACCAGCCAGGAGGGATTTTTCTCGTTTTTATAATGGTTGTCTAAAAAGTTAAGACGGGCCCTAGCCAGTGTGGCTCAGTTGGTTGGGTGTCATCCCAATGTACCAAAAGTTTGCCAGTTCAATCCTGGTCAGAGCACATGTCCAGGTTGCAGGATCAGTCCCCGGTAGGGGATATGCAGGGGGCAGCCAATTGATGTTTCCCTCTTACATTGATGTTTCTCTCTCCCTTCCTTAAATAAATAAATAAATAAATAAGGCCCCCCTTTGTCTCTTTACTGCCCTCATTAAAGAGTTAAGACGTGTGGCCCTAGCCGGTTTGGCTCAGTGATTAGAGCATTGGCCCTCAGACTGAAGGGTCCTGGGTTTGATTCCAGCAAGATCATGTACCCCAGTTGCAGCCTCAATCCCTGGCCCTGGTCAGCGCATGTGCAGGAGGCAACCGAACTGATGTGTCTCTCTCACAAAGATGTTTCTCTCTCCCCCCTCCCCCACTCTGAAAAGCAATGGAAAGAATATCCTCGGGTGAGGATTAAAAAAAAAGTTAAGCCTGGCCAGGCGTGGCTCAGCAGTTAAGCATCGACCTAGGATCCAGAAGATCACGGTTAGATTCCCGGTCAGGGCACATGCCCGGGTTGTGGGTTTGATCCCCCAGTAGGGGGCGTGCAGGAGGCAGCCGATCAGTGACCATTCTCTCATCATTGATGTTTTTATCTATCTCTCCCTCTCTCTGAAATCTATATATTTTTTTTAAAAAAGACCTGTGAAAATCTGATGAAATTCTATTTTCAGTGTCTATAAATTAAAAAAAAAAAGTTTTAAAACATACTTAAAAGAAGGGAAAAGGATAGATAGAAACATTGATGAGAGAGAAACATCAGAGATCGGCTGCCTCCTGCAGCCCCCACTGGGGATGGAGCCTACAACCTGGGCATGTGCCCAGACTGGGAATCGAATTGCCACCTCTTGGTTCCTGGGTCAATGCTCAACCACTGAGCCACACCGACCGGGCCATAAATACAAGTTTTATTGGAACACAGCCAACTCATTTGTTTAGATACTGTCTTCCTGCTTTTATGATGCAACGGCAGAATGGAATAGTTGTGACAGACCAATAGCCTGCAAAGCAGCTTAAAATCTTTATTCTCTGGCCTTTTACAGAAAAATCCCTTCCTTGGAATGTCCCTGTGAGGGTTAGAGACCCTGTGGGAGGGCCAGGCCCTGTAGGCACTGGGTACTTGCTGGTTGGATGGGATGCTGCTGCCTGTGGGTCACACTTGGGGCCCCGTGACTCCCCTTAATGGCTTTTGTTACTCTCTCTGGCAGACGCTGACCCCCAGCTCATCAAGTCCCTCTCCCAGATGCTGTCCATGGGGTTTTCTGATGAAGGCGGCTGGCTCACCAGGCTCCTACAGACCAAGAATTACGACATTGGGGCTGCCTTGGATACCATCCAGTATTCAAATCATCCACCGCCCTTGTGACAGTTTTGCTCACCTGTTCTCTGTTTCCCTTCTTGTCTCATAGTTGTGTTAAGCTAGTGTAGAACCCCAGCGCTCTGGTTTCTCTGCATTCTTCTTTCAGAATTGGGGGGTGGGAATGCATGAAGCCATTTAGGGCAGTAGGACGAGTGACACGAGGAAGGAGTTCCAAATGTGATGATATCTGAAGAGTGTTTACCAGCTTCCCTCGAGTGCCCAGCTTCTTGCAGCCAGGGTGGGGTGGGAGGTATCCCAGGCAGAGCGAGGCTCCTGGGGAGAACGCTAGGCCACCCTGCGCATTGTGCTCTCTGCCCGCCAGGATCACACCAGCAGTCCAGAAGACATCTTGCCTAATGGCGTTCTGCTTTTTCTTTTTTGAAATGACTAATAGTACACTGACATGTAGTTGATTTCCTGCTAGAAACCCGATATACTCTGAGTTTAGCCGGAACACAGCCAGCATCCCGTCCAGAGGGAGGAAGCTGTCTTGGAGCAAGTACTGGAGGGCAGGAGAGCCCAGCACAGGCTTCGGATCTGGGAACAGAAAGGGCTGACGGGAACCGGTGGTGGTCACTGAACACTGCCTGTTTCATAACCATTATAGTCATCTCTTTTCCAAATCTGTCACCTGCTTTTAAAGTAAAGATCCCCTTGTAGTTGTTCTGTTAGAACATCTGTAAACCATCTGTAATTAAATGGTATAAGCACTTTAATCAAAGCTGTTGTGATGAGAGATGATCTGTTTGAAAGTTGTTTATTATCAGTTCTTAATAGTTCCCATGAAATCCTCCTCAGTCCTAGTCACTAACAGCACCTCGGGGAACCCTGTCTGCAGTGACACAGGTCTAGTGGAGAAGGGCTCATGTAACAGACACATCTACATAACATACTAGTCTGTTCACAGAACATCATCGAAGTCCTCACCAGTGTTAAAGAGGTCACATAGTCGCATGGGTCGGGGCTCCTGTGCCCCTTTGACCAAGGGCCCGGCCTCTGCCTGAGGGCCTATGGCCCGCAACTGCTTAGGGGTCTCCCCAAAGGGCCTCTTGGGCCCAGACGTAGGAGTGTGTATGGCCCAAGGAAGCTGGAGCATACTGGGTACCCTGCTGAGATCCGCATCCTTTGCAGTTTGAGTCCTGGGGGATCGCTGCTCAGCCTGTGCTGCCCCAGCTGGCCTGGGGTCCCTCTGTAGGGGTGTCAAGGGCTGTGTGTCCACATGTGAGCTGTTTCCAGGTGATGGAAGAAATTGTTCCCATTTAGATGTGGCCCTGACCTGCTGGGCAGGATGCAGTAGTTCCCCCCAAGGACCAGTGGGCTTCCTGGTGTCCCAGGCCTCATGGCTGCTTCCTTCTCTGACCTTCCCTGCTAGGCCAGCATGATCCTGCAGTGGAGACAAAAGCAGGAGATGGCTACACCCTTCGTTCAGAATGAGTGCCAGCATCTGGCAGGACCAGGGGACAGGAAGAGAAATGTCCCTGTGCCTGTCTGCACTGCTGCTTACGTCTCTCCCTTTGGATTCCGGTGCTTTCTGCTCTGTGCTCTACTAGCTAGTCCTCAGGCTGCAGGCTAGGACATGCTTTTATTTTGAGGTTTAGCACAAAGAGTGAATAAATGCCCTTTACTTTACTCCAAATCCTCTGCCAAGTTCCATGACCAGGTTTTCCCCAAAAGGAAGATACATAACCAGGGGCTCATCTCGTGGGGACCTTAGAATCAGCTAAGAGATTGCCTGAGAGGAGGGGTGAGCTGGGTAAGGCCAGGAAGCCATCTGCAAAGTGATGCAGACTCCATCCTGCCTGCTCACTGCCAGGCGGATGGCAAGGTCCAGAACTACAATGAGGGGTTTGAAGCTGGGTAAGTGGATGCACAGAGGATCACTCCTATAGGACAGGACAGTGGCACTGGCACCTGGCTTTCCCTCCACCTCAGGAACCAGATGCACTGAAAATTGGGTTTCACCACCTACAAAGCAATTTGAAAGCAATGACAGGACCCTGTGTCACCACTCTCAAGCAGTACGGGAGAGGTGCTGTGGTCTGCTGTCACTGACAGCTCTGCTACTAACTTGCTGTCACCTCACTGAGCCTTCACTAGCCTAGTTCCTCACCTTTAAAACTAAACAGACTTGTGGTGAGCATTAAACATAACAGTTAAAATGTTTAGCACAGGGACTGGCACATCAGTGACTCATTAACATTCCATAATTTGAAGATTCGGGGCCACATCCTCAGCTGGGTCACAGCCAGCTGAGTGGCAACACCAAAGTTTGGCCTCTGCCTCCTGGCTTTGGGCCGGCGTTCTATGCCACATCTGGCCAGACCAGCCTTGTTCCTCTACCTGGGAACCTGTGGCTCTTGTGACAGTGTAAAGTAAAACCTGCGTTTTGGGGCCCTGAGAGTGCAGTGGGGTTTGCTAGGTTTGAAGTATCAGGAACAAGAGCAGATCCTGGGGGAAGAGGGTGCCTTGGTGCACAGAGCACACCTGGGTCCATGAAGGTAAGGATGGAAATGGTCCCTCAGAGACCCAGGGGAGGGCCCATGCTGGACAGGGTGCTGAAGGCACTCCATACAGAACCAAGAGAACAGCTCTGACTCAGAAAAGCCCTGCTGGTTAACGTCGGGTGCCTGTAAGGCATCAAAATGCTCTTTTGACCAGGAGTTAACACTGAGAGGATAAGCATGGAAAGGAAATGGTGCAGGCCGTAGCAAGGAGTTGGCTTCAGACAGAGAAGACAAGAGACCTGGGTGTGAAGTTGGGTACTTTTTGGGTAGTCAGTCTCATGCTTCAGCTGTTGATGAAGCGTGACAAAAAATCCTGTGTGGCCCGGCTGGGCATGGCTCAGCGGTTGAGCAGCAACCTAGGATCCAGGAGATAGTGTTTCGATTCCGTCAGGGTACATGCTCGGGTTTCCGGCTCAATCCCCAGTAGGGGGCGTGCAGGAGACAGCTGATCAATGACTCTCTCATAATTGATGTTTCTCTCTCTCCCCCTCTCCCTTCCTCTCTCTGAAATCAATAAAGATATATTTAAAAATAAATAAATAAAAATCCTGTGTGCACTCCATGGTAACTGGGAACAGAAGAGAAACAGTACCCTCAATCACTGATCTTTTGGACCCTAAGGTGACCTTAGAGTCCCCAAAGACCTGGCCATCAGGGCTGCATTGAGAACAGTGTTCTGGCTCCATTTCCTGACAGGGGAAAAGCACTGTCAAGAATCCAGTCCTGCCCTGGCCAGTGTGGCTCAGTTGGTTGGGCATCATCCTGTGTACCAAAAGTTTGCTGGCTCGATTCCCGGTCAGGGCATATGTCCGGGACACAGGCTTGATCCCCAGTAGGGAGCATGCAGGAGGCAGCCAAACGATGCTTCTCTCTCCCTCTTCCTCTCTAAAAAGCAAATAAAAATTTAAACACAAAATATTATGCTTAAAAAAAAAAATTCAGTCCTAGCACCACTGAGTCTCCTGGTCTGATGCCCAGCACAGGTAGGACCTTGTCATCCTGAACAGCTTCCTAGAGGCCTGCTCAGCTCCTGCCCTACTGCCAATAACAGGCTGCCCAGTAATATCCAAGGCAGACCATTTCTCTGCTCATGACTTATAGCTGCTAGAAAGTTCTTATTTTGACCTGAAATCTACCTCACAATAGCACCTGCCCCATTAGAGGCACCTGAATCTAGATGAGGCGGCGTCTCAGAAAACTCACTATGTCTGGAGAAGTAACCTATAAAAGTAAGCTCTTTCTTGTTCTAGGCTAACAGATTCCAGACCTGTTAGCTACTCTGGCCACACTTTGCCTTGCCAACTCTGTTCATAAAATAAGTTCTTCTCTGGGGTTAGTGCCTGGCCAGGCCAAGGAGACACAAAGATGCTCATTAAAGTGTTATAAAAATAGCAATTATTTATAGTAGCAAAAGTTTGGAAACAACCTAAATGCTGTGGAGTTTGAAAATAAATTCTCAGTTCACACTCAAAGTTTGGAAACAACCTAACTGCCCTATAAAGGAATAAATATTGGAATACCCATTATATCCTATACTTTTGAAAAATAAAAATCACTAAAAACTATAGCAACAAAGAATGACATGTGAAAACTCCAGGATGCAAACAGTATGTTATATGAACAATGTAAAATTAAGGCCATAAGTGGACAAAATTGGAAATACAGACCGAAACATGCAAGAGCTGCTGTGTTAGAGCAGTGTGTGTAAGGCCACTTCCTCTGTTTACAAAAAAAAATGTGGGGAGAGTCCTGTGAAGATAGGATGCTGCCAGTGCAATTCTATGAGCAGAGGAAGAGCTCTGCCCTCAGGTAGGCAGGGAGTTTCTGACAGTTGTCCCCACTTCTGTCCCTGGCAGGACACAGCATTCCGCATACCCGCAGCATCCTGGATATACCGATGGCGTCACCCTACCTCATCACCCAAGCTCTCCCACACCGAGCACCTACTTTATCAGGCACCCAGACAGAAGTGGAAGAGCCCCACTGTCAGACTCGGACTGCAGAAAGGGACACAGGACCTCAGTTTCTTTACAACAGCATCCTTTCTCTACCAGAGGTGTGCCCAGTGCAAGTGGGTGAAGTTCAAGCCAAGTTCAGAAAAGTTCTCCAAGCAGACAGAAGAAAGAGTATTTTAATTATTTGTACACACAGCAGTTTCCACCCTTATAAAAGGGACAGGTTTATTCATTTTTGTGTTCCCTGTAGCTTTAAGCCAAGTGCCTGTCATTCAGTAGCATCAACAGGCATTTACTGAACAAATGACTAATGAGTGAATAAATGGAATCCCCTCCGGGACATGGAGCTGGCCCAGGAAGCTGGGTGACAGAGGTGCTGCTGGCTTACCTGCAGACTCCCGTGCTCAGCCTGCCCAGGACCTGCATCTTTCCCGTCAGCATTTACAGGTTCTTCCACGGACCTTAGGGAAAGATTGCACACAGATCCTTTGTCTTAGTAAAATGACCAGGAAGCAGGACAGGAAGGTGGAAAGAGGAAGATGCAAGGGCCTGACAATGCATAGCAAAGACTTCTGGGGACTCTCAGCATGTCAGCTGTGGTTCTGACTGGGCTCAGTCATCTAGCAGTTCAGGCCTGAGCGGGAGGACCATTTACTCCTTGGACTTAGGCTGGCTGAGCCCTCCATCAACAGGAAAAGTGACACAGGGGGCAGACGCTTAACTCAGATAGACTAGTTTGTGTCCTGGCTTTGTTAATGACTGGCTGTCACTGTGATGGTGTGACTTTGGGTCTATTATGTTTGCTCATCCACAGATGGGGACAGCACAGCATGGGTGACTATGAAGATAATGAGACGTGTGCACAAGCCCTGCTTGGGGCCTGGGACAGAGATTAATGTCATCTGAACTCTGTAGCAGAGCCCCTCCCACCAGCAATGGAGATGTCCTTATCGCACAGGGCCACACGAGTCTTTAGTCTTTACAGTTGTGCTGTATCTCGATCACTACGAGAGAGAAGGCACCCGAGTTGCTGTGCAGTGACCACCAGGCTCTTTCACCACATGAAGAACGTGAGGAGCTTTCCTCTCTCCACAGCCCTGAGTGGGGCTGGGTGTCCAGTGGAAACGTATACTGTGTGAGGGCTGGAGGTTAGAGCCAAAGCCACATCCATCCATGTCAGACAGGGTTGTTTCACAACTGAATTGGAACTCTCTCTAGTGAACTTCTAGAACCCCAAACTCTAACCAAATGAGGGCACCTCTATTCATATTGTTCATCTATAAAAATAAGTCAACGATCCTCATAGGGTGATTAGGAAATGAGATCAGGCATGTGAAACCCCTGCCCTGCACGTGGTTGCTACTCCAGCGTTCCATAGAGCAGTGTCCTACCGGTGATGAACCAGAACTCTGCTCACCTTTCTATGATTCTCGAACTCAGCTTCATCAACTACAGGACCTCTCTCAGCAGTTTGAAGATTCTAGTCTGTCTTCTTGCTTCTAATGTTACCACTGAGAACTTAGGTGTCTACTGTTTCTTTATAGGTGCTGCTTCTCTTCAGCTACTTTTCAGCTTTTTCTTGCATCTTCTGTGTTCTCCAATTTCATTATGTTGTGTCTAAGGACAGATTTTTTTTTTTAACTTTTAAAATTACCTTAAGGTATAATTAATATACATGAAAATGCACCCATTTGTGTGTACAGTTACTAAGTTTTGATAAATTATACCTTTGAAACTATCAAGATGTAGAAAAATTTTATTGATACATAATTGATAAGACAAAATTTTCATCACTCCAGAAGTTCCCTTGTCTTTTTGCAGGCAATTCCCCCCTCCCCAGAAAATGGCTGACCTCTACAGTATGTGGTCTTGTGTGGCTGGCTTCTTTCACTTATTAGTGGTTTTGACATCTGCCCATGTTGTTTTGATGCCAAGTAGTATTCCACTGTATGAATATTCTGCCATTTCTTTATTCATTCATCTTCTGATGTATCTACATGTCTAGACCTTCACGAATATCATACTGTCTTGATTACTGTTATAGTAAATCTTGAAATCAGGTTGTAGATGTCTTCCAACTTTGTTTTTATCAAATTTGTTTCAGCAATTCTAGGTCCTTTGCATTTCTATATAAATTTTAGGATCAGTTTGTTAATTTCTACCAAAAAAAAAAAAAAAAAGGGCTCCTGGAATTCTGATTGGGATTGGGTTGACTCTAAGATCAATTTAGGATGAACTGTCATCTTAATGATACTGAGTTTTCCAATCCATGAACATGTCATAGCTCATTAATTTAGACCTTTACTTTCTCTTAGCAATGTTTTACAGTTTTTACTGAACAGATCTTACACATTTTTGGTTATATTTATACCTATTTCATTTACTCATGCTATTATAAATGATACTTGCTTTGAAAAATCATTTCCCAATGGCTTACTGCATTTATATAAAAATAAAATTTAATTTTGTATGTTGATGCTGTGTCCTTGTGATCTTGCTAAATTAATTTATTAGCTCTAGTAGCTTTTGTGTAGGTTCATTAGGATTTCCTACATCCACGATGTCTTTGTCCAGTTTGGGATTTACTGTGTTTCCTGAATCTAAGAATGTAAACCTTTGATTCTGCAAAATGCTCTGCTCTTTTCTCTGCAAATATTGCCTTTGCCCAATTCTTTATTCTTGCCAGAACTCTTTTCTGTATCCTCCATGCCTCTCAACTCATATTCTCTTTTCATCTTTCTGTGCTATATTGTGAATAATTTCTTCAGGTTTATCTTCCACTTCACAGATTCTGTCTTCAGCTGCACTTAATCTATTTAACCTTTCTACTACAATTTTAGTTTCAATGACTACAAGTTTCATTTCTACAAACTTTTTGGTTCTTTTTTTCAAAACTACTCAGTTATTTCTTAAAGGCGCTTGCTCCTATTACCAACCTTTTATTTCATGAAATAGTAGTAAGCATACAATATTATTGATTCTGAAGTCTTTGTGGGTCTGACTTTTCTGTCTGTTGTTCTGCTTTTTTTTTGCTCATGGAATGTGTTTCCTCGAGTGTTTAATGATTATGAGGTACATATTCCTGGGAACTTTGTGGGAATTCTTTCAGGCCTGGGTTGAAATGTGTTGCTCCAGAGAAAAGCTGCATTTAACTCTGCTTCCTGGGAAAATTTGAAAATAAATTCTCAGCTTGAAGCTTTTCACACAGTGCATATGAAAGCCTAAAGAGACATGTGGCAGCTTCCTTGTGCTTATAAAATCCTGGAGCAATATTTCCCCTCTTCAACTGGTGTCAAGGTCAACACAGGCTGGCTTCCTGCTGCAAAGGGGGTGCATTTCTAGTTCATTTGTACACTGAGGGTATAGTTCCTTGGGGACTCAGCTTTAGGTGGTGGTCTCCTACTGACCTTCCCACACTGTGAGCACTAGGCTTTGTCTTTGTCTCCTGCACTGCTCCCAGCCTTCTAAATGGAAACTCCAGGGCAGTAGGCTTCCATTGCCTTCACAGCCCAGGTGCTTATTCTCTGGAATTTGGCTTTTGATTAATTTTTGACCTCTGATAGTTATTTACTTTCTTGTCATCAGTGCATTTAAAACATTGTAGCTGGGCCCTGGCCAGTGTGGTTCAGTTGGCTGGACTGTCATTCTGTGCACCAAAGGCTGCAGGTTCCATTCCCGGTCAGGACACATTCCCAGGTTGCAGGTTTGATCCTCAGTTGGGGTCAGGGTTGGGGTGTGTATGGGAGGCAAGTGATCAATGTTTCTCTCTCTCCATTCCTCCCTTTCTCCCTCCCTCTCTCCCTATCTGCCCCCCCCCACCTCCCTCTCCCTTCCTCTCTCTCTAAAATCAATAAAAATATATCCTTGGGTGAGAATTAAAAAAAAAATCTTAAACAGGCCCAAAGTTTCAAAGCTGAGAGCAAAGGTTAAACCCAGTTTTCAAAAAAAAAAAAACAACTGTAGCAGGCATTTTCAATGATTTTCAAGCCCACACCAGCGTGTTAGGCCATACCATTCTGTAGGCGCCTGGTCTCCAAAGCCAAATTACTTTCAGTGGGAAGACTGCCAAGGGTATCTAACTGCTGCATTGGAAGACCTGGAAATCTAAGGGACTTTTCCACTGTATATCTCCACTAGCCACTCAGGGGGAAACAAGGCAAGATAATCATGCTCCTCTCAAACAACCATACCTGGGTAACATCTCTGAAACCTGGCCCTGCAGCAGGTTTAATTTCTGGACGTGGCGTCTACAGTCAGCACCAGAGCCCTCACCATAAGCCTGAGAAACAAACAAAAATATTAAGTTTAAAAAGTGTTGACAGAATGCTAAGATTCACCTTAGGGAGGGTAATCTTGTACTTTGCAAGACCTCCAAATGCCTGAAGCACCATATGGACATTAACAACCATCTGCTATTTCTGGAGTGATTTACAAATTAACAGTCTTAGGCAACTAATAGTTTCAGTCTATCTGGCTGCCCACTAGTACCCCAAACTCTACATTTCAAAACTGAACTCAATCCTAACCACCTCACCAAATGGTTAAGGAACATAAGAATTCAGAAGTTACACAAATTGCCAATAAACATGAAATGATACCCCTCACCGATAATCAAAGGAATAGCAATTAAAATACTTTTTCCCCCCATTTAGCAGTCACTCATTTGTTCAATACTTATTGAGCAACTATCATGTGCAACAACATGGATGGACCTAGAGGATATTATGCTCAGTGAAATGGGTCAGGTCAGATAGAGACAAATGTATGTGATCTCACTTTTAAAAAACAAAATAAGTAAACAAACAAAACAGACACAAATTCACAGATACAGCGAACAAACTGATGGTTGACAGATGGGAGCAGGATTGGGGGACGGGGTAAAAAAGATGAAGGGATTAAGAAGTACAAATTGGTAGTTACAAAAAAGTCACGGGGATGTAAAGTACATAATAATAATAATATTGTAGTAACTATGGTGCCAGGTGGGTACTAGACTTACTGGGGGGATCAACTTGTAAGTTATGTCTAACCACTATGTTATACACCTGAAACTAATACAATTTAAATGTCAATTGTAATTAAAAAAAAGAAAAAGAGCCCTTCCGGACATGGCTCAACGACTGAATGTCGGCCTAGGACCCAGGAGATCGTGGTTCGATTCCTGGTCAGGGCACATACCCGGGTTTCGGACTGGATCCCCAGTTGGGGCATGCAGGAGGCAGCCAACCAATGACTCTCTCATTATTGACGTTTCTCTCTCTCTCTCTCTCTCTCTCCCCCCCTCACTTCCTCTCTCTGAAATCACTAAAGATATATTAAAAAAAAAAGAAAAAAGAAATAATAAATTAAAAAAAAAGAAAAAGGGAACCCTAAGCTGTGCAGTGTGGGAAGCTTCAAAGAGGGTACTCAAGGCCAATCACAAACAGCGTTTGACATTGGCCTGCTCCAGAGACCATCCAAAAGACTGAGAGTCCTAGCAGATCTACCTAGTACATAGAAACAAATCCAAACAGGCAGCCAAAATGGGGAGACAAAAAAACAAGCCCCAAATGAAAGAACAAGAGAAGTCTCCAGAAGAGCTAAATTAAATGGAGATAAGCAATCTATCAGATACAGAGTTCAAACTACTGATCATAAGGATGCTCAGCAGCATAAAAAAAGATATGAAAACTATGAAGGAAATTAAGAATGAAGGAAATTTAGTAGAAATAAAAAATAAATTGGAAGGAACAAACAGCAGATTAGGGAAAGCTGAGGATCGGATCAGTGAATTAGAAGACAGGGTAGAAAAAAAAAATCACTCAAGAGAACCAAAGAGAAAAAAATTAAAAAGCAGGACAGTTTAAGGGAGCTGTGGGACAACATGAAACATAACAATATTCACATCATAGGAATGTCAGAAGAGCTAGAAAGTAAGCAAGGGTTAGAGAACCTGTTTGAAGAAATAATGGCAGAAAACTTCCCTAACCTGGTCAAGGAAAAAGTCACACAAGTTCAGGAGGCACAGAGAATCCCAAGCAAGAAGAATCCAAAGAGGCCCACGCCCAGACACATCATAATTAAAATGCCAAGAATCCAAGATAAAGAGAGAATCTTAAAGGCAGCTAGAGAAAAGCAATCTGTTACCCATAAGGCTGTCAGCTGATTTCTCATCAGAAACTCTACAGGCCAGAAGGGAATGGCATGAAGTATTCAAGGTAATGCAAAACAAGGATCTGAAACCAAGACTACTCTATCCAGCAAGGNGGATGAAGTATTCAAGGTAATGAAAAGCAAGGATCTGAAACCAAGACTACTCTATCCAGTAAGGTTATCATTCAAAATAGATGGTGAAATAAAGAGCTTCTCAGGCAAAAAAGGGTAAAGGAGTTAATCACCACCCAACCAGCATTGCAAGAAATGCTAAAGGGACTGCTCTAATAAGAAGTTGAAACAGAATGAGAAACATAGGCATAAAGAAATAAAATGGCAATAGATAAGCACCTATCAATAATAAACTTAAATATAAGTGGATTAAATGTCCCAATCAAAAGACATAGGGTAGCTGAGTGGATAAGAAAATAAGATCCAAATATATGCTGTCTACAAGAGACCCACCTCAGAACAAAAGACCCTCACAGGATGGAAAAAACACACTTCTGGAGGACTTTAAGGGAGAGATTGACAGCATTACAGTCACCATAGGGGACTTTTAACACCCCACTGACTTTACTGAATAGATCTTCCAGACAAAAAATCAACAAGGAAACAGTGACTCTAAATGACACACTAGCTCAGATGGATTTAATTGACATTTACAGAACATTCCACCCCAAAGGTGCAGAATATAAATTCTCCTCAAGTGCACATGGGACATTCTCAAAGATGGACCACATGTTAGGACACAAAACAAGTCTCTACAAGTTCAA